TACTGAAATTAAAGCATTAGAATAAAATAATACATGAGAACTAACAAGTTTGTCTTCTAGTAAGCAAGCAATTGAGTGTAAATGGGTCTATCAAATAAAAAGAAGAGCTGATATATCTATTGAAAGATATAAAGCAAGGTTGGTTGTAAAAGGATACATCCAACAGTCCGATATTGATTTTTAGACACTTTTTCTCCACTAGCTAAAATGACAACAAACATAACATTACTTGCAGTATCAGCTTTGAAATGTTGGTTTTTACATCAATTAGATTTTAATAATGCATTACTACATGGTGGCCTGCATGAAGATGTGTACATAATACTTTCACCCAGTTTTCAAGCCACTGTAAAAAACCAGGTATGTAGATTGAAGAAAAGTCTTTATAGGCTTAAGTAAACCAGCTGTCAATGGCATTTTAAATTCACTGAAGCCTTGAAAACTCAAGGTTTTAAGAAAGCCTATTCTAATTCTTCTTTGTTTTTTATGAACAATGATTCATCTTTTATTGCACTACTCATATGTGTTGATGATGTTATTCTTGCTAGTAATGATATGCACCAAATAGAACTTGTCAAAAATTATTTGCGTGATAAGTTCAAAATAAAAGATCTTTGTGAGCTGAAATTTTTTCTAGCTTTGGAAATAACCAGATCATCTATAGGAATCAACATATGCAAAGAAAATATACCTTGAACTTGCTGCGTGACACTGGTTTTTTAGTATGCAAACATACACCTAGTCCAATGAATCCTTCAAGCAAATTATGCAAATAGGACGTTTCATCAATGGTTGATTCTACTTCATATAGACATCTTGTTGGAAAACTTTTATATCTTACTACCAGATATATCCTTTGCAATTCAGCAACAATCACAATTTTTTGATTACCTGACACAAAAGCATCTGCAAGCAAATCATCTAAGTTCTCTAGTACCTAAAGGGCACAACTGGACAAGGATTGTTCTACACTTCTAAAAAAAATTTACATTTAAAAGTATTAAGTGATTCAGACTGGACATCTTGTATTGGTTCAAGAAAATCCATAATTGGATTTTGTTTACTTCTAGGTGATGCACTAATATCCTAGAAGACTAAAAAACTACAAACCATTTCAAGATCCTCTTCAGAAGTCGAGTATTAAGCAATGACAACAATTACGTGTGAGATTCAATGGCTCCAGTACCTGTTACAAGACTTAACAAGTTATTCATAAGACAACATCATTATATTGCAACAATTAATCTATCATCCGAATAGAAGAAATCTAATTTTTCATGAGCGCACAAAGCACATCGAAATTTATTGTCATCTCATCCAGGAAAAATTTTCTGATGGACTTATACACTTATTATTTATTCATTCAATCCATCAATTAGTTTATTATTTCCCAAAAGCTCTTTTCATTTCAACATTTCAAAAAGCCATAGGCAAGCTGGGTATACAAAACTTGTATGCTCCAGCTTGAGGGGGGCTAATAGGAAGAAAAACGAGTCAATATGTATAATGAACAGTTGGAAAAGTCAAATTATACAATCAACATTACAGTAAGAAAAGTTATTGTAATTAGTTAAAGCAGTTTGGATTAGTTGATTAATTAATTTCCATTGGTATAACTAATCATGATTAAATATTATATATAAATACTCAACCCACCTCATTAATAAAAGTATGGTTCATTTTCCTTTTCCCAATATGGTGTCTCATCTTCCCTGTTCTTCATCTCTCAAATTAATCTGCATGAGATATCTCTTAATATTAAAGTGATTTCAGAGCTTAATATATGGAATAGATCTAGGCTTACCACATGGGATGTGATAGATACTAATTGCAAATGCAGGAGGCCATCTTCCTCTTAAGCTTGTTTAGCTAATGTGAATACAGATTCGACCTTCATCCAGGAATTAAGGGCAAGAATAAATTCAACTTTCATTTAAGGACCATAGGGCTTGATGAATCTTCCTTGAGATAAGATAATAATAACATATTTTTGTAGAGGGAAACTTTTGAGATCATGGAACAAAGCCTCATAATTAAAACCAAATTGAATAGTTTTTTCATATTGAAAAACTTAGTATTCTTCATGATTTGACATGGTAAATAACATACTTGGAACTAAGGGTTTAGTGAAAAGAAGAACAACTTTAAGCTTAACGCAATCTACCTAATATCATTTGTTAATTCAACATCTCTTAAAGGACCCAAATTATGGGTGATTTAATGAGTAATATGTTTATTCGTCATGTTTAAAAGAAGAACTTTGATGTGAACCCAAATAGACCTAGTAAACAAATCGATATTATCTAAGGTGGTATGAAAATTAGAGTTTAAAGTTAAGAAAAATCTTAATATATTATTTTTGGACATATGATAGTCGAAGAAAAATAAATATATATTGTGTCTGATTGTGGTGACTTCTATTAGCATGAGAGGCTTCTATACATTAGATAAAATCTGACAAATTAGGTTTGGTGAAATCAATTTAGAAGATAATAGTTTATCTATAAGAATACATCCTCATTCATTTTGAATCGTTTGAGTGCCTATTGTGTGTTTTAGGTTTTGGCATGTAGGTTAACTGCCATGTTTTGTGATTAAGGGTCTGTTTAGATGATGGTTCAATAATGATGATATGATTTTTTAATGATTTTGTTCTATCTGTTTGCATTTCCAAATACATGGTATAGTTTTTTGATGGTTAGATCATGGTTCTTAAAACCATGATTTTTTCCATTTTTAAAACCAACAATTCGGTGGTTTTATGACGGTTTGATTATTTTTTCTCATTATACCCTTAAGTTTTTTTTCGTATTTACTAATTTACCCTTAATATTATCATTCTTCTTCTTTCACATATCTAGGGTTTATCTTTCTTCTTCATCTAAAGCCGACGTAGAGCCGCACACCGTAAACCATCTTCATCTTCGGCTTCTCTTGTTCGATCAGGTAAGGGCCTCTAATTTCTCTCTTTATTTCTTCAACTTCTTTTGTTTGATCATGTAAAGGCCACTTATTTATATGTTCACTTCTCTTTTCTTTTTCCGTTTTCAGTTTATTATCACTACTGGTATATGTGTTCCATTTTTTGTTTTTTTCGTTGCCATTTTTATTTTGTTCGATTGCTTTTAGTTCCTTCATGGTCGATTGAGCAATCATTTCTTTTTCATAGTCACCGGTCTTGCTTTAGCACTCTTTCACATTTCCACTTGTGATAGAGGATGGCGCTTTTTTACCTTCTAATTTTCCAGTTAAACTGGGGATCAAAAGGTCAGTGAGAGATAACAATAATATGCATCCATTTCTAGGCTAATTCAGTGTCTTGTGGATGCTATCTATGAGGTAGTTAGACACGCCCATTGGGGGATCTGTTGGGTCTTTTAAAAGGACTCAATCAAAGGGCACAAACAAATGAAGGGAAAGCCTGCTGTTTTTCTGAGGTTGGGTTTTGAGATGAGAGTAGGATACACATGTCAAAAAAATCTGTTGTCTAAAGAGAGTGGAGTGATCTTAAAGAGTTTTCGATTTTCTTATTTAAAATTATACTTTTAGATTAACATATATATGTAGTTTTTTGAATTAAATCAAACTATATGTCTTTCTCATTTGTTGCCACTCAACAACAACAGGTCTCAGCACTGCACATTCCTAACAATTTCTTCTTTCTTTCAATTAAAGATTATTGTCATCTGGTGGATAATGTTATTAGGTGTTGCTGTCATTTTGTTTTGGGAAGCCTGAATAGGCGAGTCTACATGTGTGTGCGTGGCCATCTCTGTTGTAGTGTGTGTGTGGCCTGTGTTGGCTAAGATGATGAATTGAACAGACTTTATGGTCAGTTGGCAAAGAGGACTGGATGATAGATGGTCCGAATGGGAGTTGAGATGGTAGATGTACGAAATTCTTTTGGCCAGATACATGGTCGTTTCTCTTTTGGAGGCTGTAAAAGAAATAGTTTGCATGGCAGAACATAAAATGTCAGTAAATTGCATCCATATGTGGAATCCATTTGCACCTATGCATAACTTTACTTAGATCTCTTATTAATTGCTAAAACAATTATGTGTTTCAGCATCTAAACATGCAAAATTGTTGTATACAAAGGGTGTATCCTTTTTATCCTAGAAATATGTCTCTTAACTAAAGATAGAACATATAAACTTCAAACCAATTCTAACCTAGTGAAAAGACAACAGCATAAAATATAATTTTGAATAGATAATCAATATTAGTTATACATTCTGGAATTTTAAGAATATTGCTAATCAATATTAGTAATTCTAGCCTAATGTAATGTTATTTGAGCTTAAGCTGAAGTTGAATCTAAGCAAGGAGGCCAGACACATGCTGTAATTATGTGTAGTGGCTGTTGCTTATTCTGGAAACCAAGCTTTTAGGTACAATTGTGCATTGAAAGGAAAAAGAAATTTTCAAACAAGAACTTAAAAAAAACAAAGAAAAGGAAAAGGAAACTTGAAGAAAAGGGTTATGGAGA